AGGGTAAGCACCACGTCACCAGGGCTCCTTGAACTCTGCCTTTCCATCCCCATCTGCCATGTGGGAATGATCCGGTTTCTCAGTATCCTCTCCAGCCTTTGGTGATGTCCCTACTTTTTGTTTTACCAGTCTAATAGGGATGCAGTGATAATGCCTCATTGTGATTTTAATTTGCACTTCCTTGATGGCTAATAATATTGAAATATTTTCCTGTGCTTATTTGCTATCTGTGTAACCTCTTGGGTCAAATGTCTGTTCATATCTTTGACCTGTATTTGACCTGTTGAAAAAGGGAACTCTGTCTGAAGACAGTCCAATCATATCATAGAATCTTAATCAAGTACCATTTTATATCTGCAAACAGCCAAAGGGGAGGTGCCGGGTGGGAGTATCATGAAGATCAATGCCATTTGCACTCTCTAGCTCATTCCTCCATCAGAGAACTAAAAATATCCTGAATTTTTCATTGTTGGTATCAGATCCCAAGGCTGGGCTTAGACGGTGCTTTCCTGTGCTCAAGGCCAGGTTGTTCTGGAAGACGTGCTGGCGTATTAGGAATACCAAGTGTAATGGGACTGGTATGCTTGGTATTTTGAAATCATAAGTTATTTCATCTCACTGAGTCCATTTTCTCCTCTCTAAAATAGGGTTCCTAATATTTACCTAAAGGTTGGCTAGCGTATTATCAACTGAGATAATATATCTCAGAAATCTAGTACTGGGTGCGGCTTATTTTTGACACTCAAATAATGTAGGTGTCTGCCTAAATGATAAGGACAGGGTTAGGAAGGTCTTTCCAGGCCACAGGAGAGGGATGGGCTAGCCTATGCTCCATTAGCAAGGAACACGAAATGCTCTTTATTCAGAATGGCCCATGGGCCGGCTGCATAGCATCCTTCGGGTATCCAGCTGTGCAGCTGAATGGATTCTCTTTCTTTTGCTCTGTGTTCCCTAATCCATCACATTTTGTTCAGTTTTATCTCTATGAGAGGCAAGCGTTTGCTCAAAGCGGCGTGGGAAAAAGCGTCCAGCTACGTGGGAAAGGGGCGGGGTCCTCTCTCAGTCACGGCCTTCTGGGGGAGAAGCAAGGCACAGGAGAGAAGCCGCGTGTGTCTGTAGCGACTTCGCAGGCAGAGCCATGTCTAAACACCCACCAATCACTCCTGACGTGGAAGGCTCTGAAAATAGCTTCTGGCCTTAGACCCATGACCTCTCATCCTTCGTAGCTGACTGACACTGCGGTGCAAGAGGGAAGGGGCAAATATCAGGCCTCCATTCTAGGTTCCAGGCGGGATGAAATGGGAAGGAGCTTCAACAAGTTTGTTCAGAAATTGGCATTAAAAGATAATGGAATTTTCCGTGAATTATGAAAACATCAATTAATGGATGCATTTTTATGCTTTATTGTTAATTGGGTGGAGAGTAACCGAGCAGTTTATCATCCAATAATTCATATTCATTCAACACCACTTCTTCTTGTATTTCTTATTTCCATTCCTCCTTCTCTCCGCACCCTCCTGAACTTTGTCCGTGGGGAAATGCTGCCCTATTTATTTCAAATGGTTGATTATTCTAAAGTGTGCATACCTTCCTGTAGGCCTGTCTACTGGTTGGCTGAAAAATGAGCTAGGGAGTGAGTTCAGTTCCAAGCCTGTAGGGTGATTAAGGACCACCTGGGGCCACCTGTAAGCCTTGTCTCTTTTGTGGTTCTGAGTGTTGCATTTTCTCCAAGTCTATCGGGGCCCTCTTTCATGAGATGCCTTTCAGAACAGTGGTTGTGGTAGTCCGGTGCCATCTGGTTCTTGCTTGGTCCGTAAGTCCATTGGACTAGTTGTTTTGTTGTGTGTGTCTTTGATTTTCTCCACTCTTCTTCCTTCCAAGAGGAGAGACAATAATTGCATCTTAGAGGCCCACTCACGAGCTTTTAAGACCCCAGTGACTCCTCCCCAGAGTAGGGTGTAGAACATTGTCTTTGTCCTGTGGACAGGACTGTGGTAAGCCCACTGATCTTGCTATTTCCATGAAGTTCTTGAAGCCCGCTCACATGTGTAGAAAAGACAAACACTCAGAAACCCAGTACCAGGCCCCGAATCTGCCAGTGGGTTGTTATTAGTTGCTGCTGCCACGACAACTTTGTGTGTACTGGACTGGGGCACCGCCCCGGTTCTTCGCCCCCTCTGTCATTGTTGTCATGCTTGAGTTCATAGCATCAGCCCACATCATTGCAGGTTTCCTTTGCTTACATGATGTGCTTTTGTACCAACTGGTCATTTTGATGATGGGTCCCAAGTAACTGAGCCCACAAAGTCTTGCCATCTCTGCTTCTGCAGCTAACTCATATGATTTGAATTTAATTTAGGGATTTAAAAAGCGTATACCCTCTATCATTCAAAAGCAATGAGCTGAAATGGAATATGTTTTTTAATATAAAAAATCAAGTAAAAAGAAATATATAGGAGGGAAAAATGAAGTATGTCAGGATAAAGTTGGCATAGAGAAATGCATACTGTTAAAGATAGCTAAAGACCAAAGAGTAGTTGCATATTTGGCTTTGAACTTCTCAGAAGTCAGTAAGAAGAGGAATGTATTATATAATATTATATGAGACAATTAAGTATTACCATGTAGCAGACAAGGAGTGTTGTTGGTGTAGTGGGTTAAGCACTGGGAGAGAGATGCGACTGTCTGTTTTGGTTTTTTTATTTTGTTTTAAGATAAGGCTTTCTACTCCTGTGGTGATGTACGGTTTTAGAAACCTATAGGGGCAGTTCTCCCTGTCCTTTGGGTTTGCTGTGAATCAAAATAGACTTAGCAAGTGCTTAAATGTGTGTGTGTGGAGGGGTATACATACATGTATATATACATACATATATATGCCAGCCATTGTTTTATATACTTTATATTTATAATCTCATTGACTTCATAAGATCCCTATGAGGCCTGTGAAGTTATAGCCCCTGTTTTTCAGATGGGGAAACTAAGGTACAGCGGTATTAACATGCCTAAATTTATATAGGTAGTCAGAGCTGAGAATTAAAGCCAGACCTTCTCTGATTCCAGAGCTGCCACTGACACTTTGCCACTTGATGACAGGGACTATAAGATTTGGATTGGGGTTTCTCCTAAACGGTGAGGTTATTTACTGTGTCAGTCACCTGGGTCTTACTGTACCCCCCAGAGAACAAACAGGAGAACAGAATCATGTTGGGTGTGCTACCCAGTAGGAGTCAGCAGTTTTGCTCATGCCCCAAACATGGGAGTGCATCAAGAAGGAGGTTGCTCAGGGCTGGGCCCTAAGCAGAAGCTGTCTCTACGAAGCTAGGAACAGAGCTCAGACGGAGTCACTGGGGCACGGTGTCTGGAGGCTGGCCCTTTGGGACCAGAATTGAAACACCCAGCTTACATGTCCAATTTGGAAGTGGAGGCTGTGTCCTGAAGCTGCTGTGGCAGGTCTGGTAGCAAACCCTCTAGAAGTTCAGCTATTTCCCTTGTATTGTCTGTGGTAGTCACCTAATCTGGTGTCAATTTAAGGATTAGGAGTGTAGGGGTGGAGTCTAGGCTGTCAATCTGGAGATAGCCAATAAGACTTCTGTGTGGGCATGGCATTCTCCTGAGAATTCTGGGAAATCTGGTACTTCCTCCTTGGAGGTGGAAGACACCTCTCACTACTGCTCCCTGGGAGACATTGTAGAAGATAAGCCACGTGGACGAAACCAGACCTCAGAAGCCAGAGAAGCCACAGAGAGACCCCTGCTAGCACTGAGATGCTTACAACGCCACTGGACCCAAAGACTTTCCACCTAGTGGCTCGTGATCGTCCAGCATTTGGCTTCAATGAGTCTGAAGAGGACTTTGTAGATTGGTATCAGATATATGGGCTAATAGCAGACTTATGGCCTTGGACTGGACTGAGTTGGGATGTTTTTTCAATGTTCAATTCCTCTTGTATATAAACCTCTTTCTTATTCACATGTGTGTCCATGAATTTGTTTCTCTACTCTACCCAGACTAACCCATTTATCTGATATTAGTTTCCTTTGTATTCTTGCCCAATATTTCATAAAGAGGAAGCCTGGTGGCGTAGTGCTGACATGTTGGGCTGTTAGCTTGCCAGGTCAGCAGCTGGAAACAGCCAGCCCTCCTTGGGAGAAGGACGGGCTTTCTACTCTGGTGAGGAATTACAGGCTTGAAGCCCATCAGGCAGTTCTACCCTGCCCTCTAGGGCCGCTGAGTTGGCATCGACTCACTAACAGTGAGGTTTTTTGTTTTGTTTTTAATATTTCATAAAGGAGCCCTGGTGGCATTCTCAGGGAAGCAGTGGATGGACTGCTCACTGCAAGCCTGCTGCTCTGCAGGACAAAGACAGAGGCATCTGCTCCCACAGACATTTACACTCTTGGAAACCCCACTAGGGCTGCTCTGCGCAGAAGTGACTTGATGGTTCCAACCCAGCGACACGGAGTTGATTCTGACTCATAGGAACCCTGTAGGACAGACGAGAACTGCCCCCTTTGGGTTTTTGAGGTTGTAAGTCTTTGTGGGATCACACAGCCTCATCTTTTTCCCACAGAGTGGCTGGTGGGTTTGAACCACTGACCTTGCAGCTAGCAGCCCAATTTGTAACCCACTACACCACCAGGACTCCTTTGACACAATGGTAGTGGGGTTAATATATCATAAGAACATGGGGAAAATCCCATCCCACCTCTGCTTTTTCTATCAGGGCTTGACTCTTGTGATCTGTGGGCTATACATCAACCTCCAATATTTGCAGCATCTCAGGTTTCTTGAGAGGCTGTTATCCTGGTTATAGTATACACCGCTACCTGGTGGGGACCTGCATCTATAGTGTCAATGAGAAGAAATGGGCCTCCGTTTACCAATTCTATCACCAAAGCCCACTCAGGGCAGCTACTGTGTCAACCCATGTCATCGAGGGTCTTTCTCTTTTTTTTTGGATGCTCGACCTTCCCAAACTGATGGGCTTTCCCCAGAGACTGGTCCCTTCTGTGAAGACGTACAAAGTGCCCGAGATGAAGGTTCACCGTGCTTACTTGCAAGGACCATTCGAGCTGTACTTCCTCTGAGACAGATGCTTTTCATCCCTCTGGTAAGCCATGGTGTGTTCACCTTCTTCAGCAATACCGTAATTCATTGTAAGTCCGTTCCAGGCAGGCTCAGAAAATGGGTCCGTTTTCTAGGTGTTTTCTTCCCTCCTCTCTGCTTTCTGTCTTTCTAGGTAGAGGGCAAGATGTGGCAAACTCCACAGACCCTCACACGCCTGTCAAAGCTCCTCCACAAATTCCCAGCGCTGCTTTTCGCTTTAACGAGCAGAGACGTGGAGGGTTCCCATAAAGAGGTCAGAGTAAAACTCAGAGAGAGTCCTTGCGTTTGTTTTTTCCAATGTACAAATAAAAGCGCTTAAATAGTACTTCGTGTACTATAGTTTTGTCCTAGGCATTATGTCAGGTGTCCTTTAACAGCAGTGTCTGGACCCTTTCCCTTCTTTACGTATCAGACAAAGGCCGTTTCCTGTGTGGTGGGCTGCAGTCTTGTCTGAGCAGTCGACTGAGGCTGGGTCAGCACTCTTTCCAGACTCTGTGGAAAGGAGTTTTGAGGAGACTGAGGGTGGCTTTTTTTGTTTGCTTATAAGGTCATTTATTGGTTTAATATTAAATCTGAACATATTTTTCTACTCACATTTCAGGGAGAATTCAATTTTTTTCTCTTTCATCTTAGATATTTGTCTTTGCTAGATGCTTGACAAAACTGTAGCTGGCCTGCCTCATCTGACCCTTATGGGGAACATACTGCTTTGATTGCTCTTTCCATTGTGAGAGACACAGCACTGTGTACTTTTGTATAGGATGCTGTCAGTGGAAATTTTACCTCAAGACCTTTTATACCAAGTACACAGTTGCTGCTTATGATTTCCACTTATTTATTTCTTTTATCCTTTTATTGGGGGCTCATACAACAATTCATACATACATCAATTGTGTAAAGCACCTTTGTACATTTGTTACCCTCATCATTCTCAAAACATTTGCTCTCCACTTAAGCCCCTGGCATCAGCTCCTCATTTGAGGGTGGTTTTTAGAGACAAGTAGCCATGTGCTGTTTATCAGAGATTTTCAGGCCTTCTTTCTCGCTGTATGCCTCTCCTGACCCCATATCAGACCCCACAGTTTGTACTCACTTTGTTTCATGTTGGTCTATGTATGTGGAGAAGTTGGAGGAAGTAAGTCCTTTGCCTGAAGGTGTTAATACATCATGCATTTCATGCATGTAACGTGAGATGCTAGTATGTGCATTTGCCACTCCCCTGTCCCCCCCAACTTGAGTCAGTTCAAAGAGAATGTGATTTTATGTGGATGACAGAAAGTGCCCTCAACATCACTCGGAGAAAAAGTACCAGCTCGGCGTAGCAATAAAGAACTTCTTTTAAGAATGAAAAATGCCACCAGACAATGAAGCAGCCAGAGCTTTAATCTTAGCATCCTATTAGCCTGGATTCCAGGCCACATGGAATTCCTCTCTCCCTGCTTGATGGCACTGAACTTCTGTGAAGGACCATAATGCATATCAACAGGCTAAAATGTAGGAATAGTGTAAATCAGGCCAGGTCTGATAGGGAGCTGAAATACAGGAGCTGAAAGGACAAATGTCAAGTGGAAAAGACAAGGAGGAATAGGTTGTTGGGAAGGAGGGCTGGCTGAACTTCCCCTGCTCTTGGGTCTTGACGGACTGTCTAGGACTGGGGCTGAGTGGGTGGGGTGATAGGTGTGTGTGTGAGAGCCTGTGTGTGTTTGTGGCTGTGAAGCCAGCAAGTGAGGACTTGACAGCAATTCACCCAGGCTGCTTCAGGGATTGGTTATAATAGTCCTTTCCCCAGCCCCAACGATGGGGGAGCAACAAAGCCTTAGCTTTGGTTCAAATGTAGTGGAGAAAAGAGGCTGTCTCTGTCTTCACAAGCTGCTAAAACAACATACGACTACATGAGAAATATATTTGCTCACAGTTCTGGAGGCCAGAAGGCCAAATCGGAGTGCCAGCTGTGTTGGTTCTTTGTGAACTGGCTGAGGGTCGAAGTGCCTCATGCTTCTCTCCTAGCCCGTGGGACTCTCCGTAAACTGTGGTGCCCCTGGGCTTGTGGATACATCTTCGTATGGCTCTGTGTCCCTCTTTGTTTCTTCTCTTTTCTGAGACAAGACTCATGGAATAAGGGCCCATTCTATGGCTTTATTCAAAGACCCTATTTCCACATAAACTCACTTTCATAGGGAGTCGGCTTCTGTGGGCAAAATGAGGAATGATGCAGGAAGCATCAAAATAAGATGGAAGGCAGGGCATCAAAAGATGAAAGGAATACACAGAGTCACTCTACCCCCAAATTTGGTACATGTTCAGCTAGTCCAGGAAAGAGCTTGTGTTCAAGGACCAATGGTGTTGAAGGAAGAAGTCCAACACGCATTGAAGGCATTGACGGAGACAAGGCTCCAGGAACTGACGGGCTACCAATGGACGCATTTCAACAAAAGGCTGCAGCAATAGAGGTACTCCACATGTGTTGTTGACAAGAAAATCAGAAGGCAGCTACCTGGTCAATGGAGTGGAAGAAATCCATCCTTGTGCCGATTCAACAGAAAGGCAGACTGCAGAAATAATTGAACAATGATCAGACCGTAGTGAGACTTGCCAACGAGCATTCAAACACAGTTGCCGCAGAACATTGGCAGGGAGCTGCCGGGAAGTCAAGCCAGACCCAGAAGGCGATGTGGAGCTAGGGTTATCATTGCTGACACCAGATAGATCTCGGCTGCGTACCAGAACGATGCTTACTTGTGTTTTATTTACTATCCAAAGGTATTGTATGGATTAAAACAACCGACGAGAGTGGGAATTGCAGCATGCTTCATTGCCCTCCTGTGGAAGCTGTACATAAATCACAAGGCAGTTGTTCAGTCAAAACAAAGGGAGCCTGAGTGGGTTAAAATCCGGACAGGTGTGCATCAGGATGGTGTCCTCTCACCATACTTGTTCAATCTATACACTGAGCAAATCCCCCGAGAAGCTGGCCTGCTGTAGGGCTCCATGGATAAGTAGGCTGGTTTCTTGGGACTTGGAGCATCCACTCACTTACCTCCAGAGTTGCCCTTAGCAACAGCTCTTCCTCCCCTGCTGCCAGCCGCCCTGAGCAGCCTTTGGTCCACCACCTCCCCATTCTTCTACCACCAAAGCCAATAAGCCACCCAGCATTCTCCCCTCCACCGCAAGTCTGTCCCCCCACCGCACCACGCAAAAGGAAAAGGCACACATACACGTACGTGTTATTAAAATGAATTGTTTATATTATCTCAGTTGAGTCAATACATTATAATGTATTAAAATGGAAAGGTACAAAATTGAAATAAATACTTTCTGATTCATGTATAAATCTTTTTTTTTTTTGTCAAGATGACTTTTATCGCCAGTACATGTCACAAGAAAACAGTTAAAATGACACTGAAACAATCATGTCAAACATGGTGCATGGAAGAAAAAGGTCAAGAAAACAACTTTTGGCTTGTTTTGGCATGAGACTTTGATACAATTTGGGTTCCCCAAAACCATGTGAAGGGTGGTAAAATAGAAATACTCCAAACTGATTTAAAAAAATAAACAGGCTTTACAAAAAACCCTCTTTTTTTTTTCTTAACCCAGCCACTTGGCTACATGGTCTGCACTCGCAATAGAGACATTCATTGTTGTCCAAGGGAAGAGAGCAACCGCCTTCCATTTTGAAGAGCTTGGTGGAGAGGCTGAAGAAATACGCTGCAGCTGAAGGGGAGCAGAATGTTCAGGAGAACAAAAAGTCCAGATGGTCTTCAGAAAGAGCACTGAGAAAAATGGGTGGGAGGGGTCTCTGGCACAGCAGGTGAGGAGGCAGGGATGGAGGGGGTGTGGGGAGTCCAGATCTGAAGCAAAGCTTGTCTGAAGAAGGAAGGCTGGGTTTTCCCCAGGGATCTTTCAGGCTGAGTACAGGAATCTCTCCCCCTGAGCAGCTCTGGGTTTGTCCTCAGCCTGGGAATGTTTCTCTTTCAGCAAGAGGCTGCCCCAGGGCTTTGGAGTCCGGCTTGAGTTCTTTCAGGCACAGCAGTAGAGAGGAGCCTGGGACAGGTGCAGGGCTTTACAATGGATACCACAGAAGGGGGGCTCTCTTCTGGTGCTGACTGCTTATTAGGTGGCTGTTAAGGCAATAAGGACTTTAGCAAACTAGAAGTTAAGGGCAGCGAAATTCAACTAGATTGAAGGTAAGCAAAAGGTGAGAAGGAGTCCCTTTCTCCTCAGCTACCATTCCCCGAAGCACAGGAAGCCTTGGATCCTGAAGCTCTGGATTTACAGTACACAGTAGCAGAGGGCTTGCCCTTTGGAAGGCTCCCTGGAAAAGAAGGCTCATCCCTGACTTGGGGCTACTTGACAAAAGTTTCTACTCTACGGAATCTCTTTGCTGAGGTCCTCTCAGGAGGGCAGACTGTGGCCACCCAGCTGGCTAGTGAAAAGGGGAAGCACCAGGCTCGTGCAGAGTGAAGTCGAGTCCTTTGCTAGAGACTGATCTGGCACATTCCAAGAGCCTCAAACACTCTGTGTCCTGGAGAGCCAGACCTGATGCTTGCGTACCTCCATGAGACCTGTGTCCAGCTAGGAAACAGGACAAGCCTCTCCAGTTGCCCCCCTGCACCAGTTGGAAAGATGGTTACCATGGCCATGGGAAGAGGAAGTTCTTGGAAGGTTTGTGAGCACACAAGTTGCTCTCTCACTGGAGTGAAGTCGCTCTTCTGATTTGAGTTCATATACAGGGGGATGAAAAGCAGCAACAAAGCAACCTTTTCCTTTTTGCTTGCTCTGGGGTGAAGAAGATGGACAGAAACCGTGCAGTGCAAAGGGAAGGATCAACCTCAACAGTTACCTGTCCTTCTGGGATGATGCGGGGCCATTTGACTGCTGAGGTCCTGGAAGTAAGACCTGGCTCACAGGCAGCTGATGCCAACGAGAACAACCATCTGTTCTAGCAAATGAACCCAAATCAAACCGTGATCAGACCAACAGAGCATCCCTTCATGCGCAAGTATTTAGACTGGAATCCAGAAAGGGCTTTCCTGTGGGTTTCAGGAAGTGATAGCATAGTGATACTATGATGACTGAAGAGCCCCCCAGAGTGGCCTGGACTAAACGTGTGGTGGGAGCAGCACCAGTTCTAATAACAAGCCACCTCGGGAGCTGATCGATGTCGAAAATGTCTCTGAGGAAAGCCATCAGGATTTGGGCCTAAGAAAAGTGGCTCTCCTTTGTCCAGGAATCCAAGAAGGATGACAGTAGATACCTACTCAAGCTGCGGGAATAGAGATGATGCACGATTTGGCCATTAGCTGATAATATTGAAGTTGATTG